GTGCCTGATCAAAATGTCAGAACTTTCAATCCGATTGACTGGAAGGGATGGAGTCGGAGGTACAGGAGAAGCAACGCAAAAGGAAGAATGTTATCTTCGCAGCCGCGAGGTTCCGTTGTTGCTTCCATCAAAATGGCGTAACTTTCAACTCGACGGGATGGGGAAGTCGTCGAACGAGCGAGTTTGAGCAGCAGCGACTGGGTCGAAGCAATAAGAAGATTTGCAGGATTTGGCCAGAGGAGCGAGCTGAAGGAAGAAAGTAATCTTCACAGCAAGCGGGCTCCCTTGTTGCTTCCGCCAAAATGTCGCGACTTCCTATCCGGATAGAAGAGAAAGTCGTCGAGAGGAGCGAAGTCGTTGAGCCACGAAGGAGGAAGCGAGAGCGAGAGAAAAAGATTGAGGAGGCCTCCGCCCTGGTTTCCTCTCAATATTTAACGACGTGAATGCATCTTGCGTGTGACGTGGGGAGAGCACGACCGCGACGTGCGACGTGGGAGAGGCAGAGACCATGAGAGATTTGAATTTTTTTTTTTTTTGGTTTTGGTTCACCATATCAGATGGGTCAACATTTAAAAATATTAATTAGGCAGTTTAAAAATTCGAAATAAGATAGATTATATAGCATGATCATCATCATACAATATAATTTATTTAATTTATTAATACAAAGTGATCTAATCCTTCAATCAGAGATTAAGGATGATTGTTTGAAATGATCTATATTATAAATTATAATCAATTATGATCAATTTGTGTTAATTACTTTAACAATTTTTTTTTTAGCTTAAACCTCTTTTGTGTGTTTTATCTTCTAATTTCTAATTCTGAACACATATAAAAAAAAACTCATTAAAATTCAATTTTAATTCTTTTAGCTCAATGCTTGGTTTTTTTCTGGCAAACGCAATTTTTTTGAATTAAAAAAAAATTCTTAGTTAACTTGGATGATTTGATAACTTGAGTTATGAATAATCCGTAAGTTCTACATGCTTTTCATAGAATATACCTAACATTTTGAACTCTCATTTATTATGTGAATATAATGTTTGGTGGAGGACTAAAGAGGTTCACCTCTTAAAGTATTATTACACATAACTTTCAAGTCTTTAAAACGTGTTATTGAATGTAAAGAAGCATTGAGAGTTTAGTGGTTTAAAATGGGTAAAGGAAAAGTTATGGGCTGGCAAAGTGAGGACAACACCAGGGATAGAAAATCCAATATTAGCATTAGGCCTTTAGTGTGTATTATATAGGTGATTTTAATACTTGGAACCACTTAGAAACCTTAGAGGGAGGTAGCTATTAATGTTTTAATTTTTTTTGTGATTTTATGAGTTGTTTGGTAAACTTCTAGATTCTATTTCATGGCTAGATTACGTATTACCCAATGTTGACAACACCTTAAATTAGATCTTTTATATTGGGGGAAAAGGTTCTTAAAAGGTTAGAAAAATTATTAAAGTTGTAAAGGGATGTACCAAGATTATATTATAATGGTTACCTCAAATTTTCAAAAGGATTTAATGAACTAAAACATGTGGAAGAAGACTGGGTAGTATTGGAGCAAGGTTTAGATAAATTTCGATTTGGTTTTTGTGTAGGAAAATTTGAGAAATTTTATAGAGAGATGGAGGGGGAGTAGTTCAATATTTATAAAGTAAGAAATAAATATTAGTGAAATTAAATTAGATAAAATATCAATCATGAAAGAGATAAGTTGAGGAAGACAACCAGTCTCTTTTTGTTTGTATTTGCCACCAAGCCTCCACACCTTTGGAAGAACTCCAAACCTCCACACCTTTGGAAGAACTCCAAATTTTGATTTTTCTCAGTAATAATTTTATCATTTGAGCATAAACTCTATAAGCTAAATAAGAAAGAAGCAAAGAGAAGAGAGAGAGTAGGAGAGATGGGGTCTAGGCCTTCAATAAATTGAGGGAATTTTTTCTTGTCCTCCTTAGCTAACCAGATAGGCTTTGTGAAAAGAAATTAATTAATAAATAAACAATAACACCTTTTTTATTAATGCTAGAAAACAATTTTAATCTATCTAATTAAATTAATGATGGAAAAGAACATAGAAGAGATGATGACTACTATGTCCACCATGCAGAATAAAGAGTATCCCTCATCAAATGCATAAATAATGTTACCTCTAGATGAATCCATACAAATAATCACTAAAAAAATAAGTCATTAAAGAGGAAGAAAATAATAATCCAGTGAAATTAAAAAGAGATACAGCATGGTCATTAAAATACTTTCGTGAGCAAAACACCACATCATCATCAGCGATTTCGTATTGAAGAAATAGAAACCAGATAAGAATTTAGTAGATTACATCTTATATTGTGGAAATCATATATAGCATGGGGTGCGAGCCAAAATTACAATATAAGTACTATAAAAATTCTCCTATAAAATATTCATGGTCCAATAGTTTTTTCTTTTTAAAGGCTTACTAATCAAAACTTGTTGTTATCTAAACAATGTGATTATTTACTTTCTTGCACTTGATGTTATGGTTTGATATCATTATTGTTGGTGTGTGATGAGGTGATTATTTAGATTTATTATACTCCGAAATGTCATGTAGACTATTATAGAGACATATTACAATCTTTCTTTTCATTACACATTATTTCTTTTGCATGCTAACCCTACAAGAGTATAATTTTTTTTTTTGTAAATGTAAATATAAATTTAAATAGAATTGAAAACAATATATAGTTATGAAAATATTAAATGTAAATTGTTTATTATAGAGATTTTGAAGTCCAAAATAGATGTTTTTTCTTTGTTTGAAGATTTTTATCTTTTAGAATTCAATGAAAGATCTGGATCTAGAAGACTCAAAGATAATTAAATAAGTAGTTATACATAACGATTTAAGCCAAAGTATAGGTGTAGAAATCCAAGCTTAATATCGGTGGATATTTGCCGCCTTTACATTTCTATAGACTCTAGTTTATTATTTATAGAGGCATTTGTCACAAACATTTTTCTACATTACTTTATTCACTTATACATCAATTTAATGTTTGCAAATGAGTTATAATGTAGAAATGGCATGCTTTTTTTAGGATCCATAAAGTTGCATGTATCTTTTGTAGGACATATACATTAGTCTCCTAGGATTCTATAGCTTTTATACTTTTACATCCCAACTCATTTACCTATAATTTCATACATGGCAAGAATATTTACTTTTCTACTATCTGCTTAAACGAACATAAAAGTTAATGATAGCCTAAGAGATGGGGCTGAGTTTTTATTTCTATTTGAATAGCTACATTATGCTACAAGATTTTCTTAAAAAGTAAGTAATTATAAAGTGCATTTTTCGCTTTTAAAAATTTTTAGATTTAAGGAAAAGTTTGTTTTAGATTGTATTATTTAAGTATTTCTGAACCCCGAATAACTTTAAACCCCAAATTACAGTCTAAACCTAAGTCCTTTATTCTTACTTAAATAAGAGCTTATCTACCTTCATTTAAGCTTTTCTGTTGAATTCATTATTTTCACTAATGGTTCTTTAAAAATGCTTTATATTCTTTTTAAACTTATGGATCAATTTCAAAGAGCTAGTGGTTTTATTTTTTAATCCTCACAAGAGTTATTTTATTTTATTTTTAGTCTATTTCTATTTAGAGAATCAATGTTATACATAACAAGTTTGTCTTTTCCCATAAGATTTTACCTTTCAAGAATTTAGACACTCCTCTTTTTAGAGATAATAAGATGTCTCCCTTATTTGGTGGCATTTTCATTATTATTCATACGAAACTTACGACTTGGGCTTTTAATTTCTTACCATATAATGGCAGGTTGCTTTTAATTAGACATGTGCTTTGTTCTATTCTACCACTACTTGTAAAGTTAATCAATTTTTTCATGTTGGTGTTTGGAGTGTTGATTTATTATTAGTCTCATTCTCAAGATTCCCCTTCAGTTAGATAAATAGGATTCCATTATGCTTACCAATGTCAATGATAGTAAGTTAGCTTCGAAAAAATATATGGAACTCTATCAGTCAACCCTTCCCTAAGTCTTTACTTTATTTGGCAATTTGGCACCATACAATTGTATCCCAATTAGTTTTTTTTTTTTTAACATTTTATTATTGAGTTGAGATGACTCTTAAATATTAAGAGTTTCTATGCGGTTTCGTTAGTATTATCGAGTTTATATTATTCCATAACCATTTCTTTTATATTTTCTTCAGTGTTGCTTGGTAAGATTCCCTGAGGTCTTTTAGTTAAAGATACATCTAGATGTCTTAATTAATATTTAATACTATTTTAATGGCAGCAACCTGATCTTATAATTATGTGCCCAATTAAAAAATTAGTTCTTCCAACGAAGGCTTCACATCCTTAAATTGGTTATTTAAGTGAAATCTAGGGGGGTAACAAGGTCTTGGGTTTACAAAATTTTGAGAAGTGTGGTTCCTATTTCAAAATTAATTTGTTTTGTTCGAATTCCAATTATTATTAAAATTTTAATTATTACTCTAGTTAAAATTGGGGTGATTTCTCCCACAAGGATTAAAAGGGTTAAGAAAGGGTTGTTGGTTTTATTATTAATGGAACTTAAAGACTCTACTCCTACTACCTTTAGTTCATAAAAAGATCCAAAGATATTTTCTTGTACTTTAAATGATGAATTATTACATGAATTGATTCCAAGATTATCTAGTTTTCTACATATGGAAACTACTTTTGTAGTTAAAATTGATATAGCATCTGATTCATAAACACTAGATACCTTTCTAGGATTAAATCTTTTAGATAGCAAAAGAAAATTATTGTTAGCCATATCCTTAATAAAAATTTTGGCCTTACTAAAGGGTTTGACATTAAAGAACCACCAAAAGTAATAAAAATTTTGGCCTTACTAAAGGGTTTGACATTAAAGAACCACCAAAAGTAACATAAACAATCGATCTAAGAGAACCTATAAGATTTTTATAAAAGGTTTGAATGATTAGCCAATCAAGGAGGGCATGGTGTGGAAACTTCTTAAATAATTCTTTAGATCTCTCCCAAGAATCAAAAAAGGATTCCCCATCTAATTGGGTAAATAAGGTGATATCATTTGTAAGATTAATAGTTTTAGAAGGTGGAAAATATTTAGCAAAACATTTATGGGCTAACTTGTTCCAACGAGCATAGGAGTGATGAATTTGACCATATCTTATCTTTATCCCTAAATGACAAAGGATAAAACCTAAGTCTAACGAAATAATCAAGAACACCATTATATTTAAAGGTTGTACATATTGATAGGAAACTATCTATACATAGATTAAGATCTTCTATTAGATATACCCCAAACTAAGAACTATGCATTATTTCAATTAACAAAAGTTCTAGCTCAAAGTTATTAGCCTAAGTGCTTGGCCTATTTATGCTTTATGAATTCCTTCAACCATAGGGTTAGTGTATTCACTAAGCACTCTAAGTTGAGCATATTGCGCATGCACGCGCGCGCGTGCACGCACACATCTATTAGTAGCTAATTATTTCTTAAATGAAACCTACTTGATAAGCAAGTGTTAATTATACATGAGAGAAAAAAAAGGAAAGTTATATTGCTTTTACCTTAACTATTAATTATGATGATTTTTATAAAATTCCTTGAGCCAAAATTGGAATAAAAGATTCTTATTTCTAATAACTACTGAGGGTAATAATTGGCAATCCTTTGCCTTAATAAATTCTCAAACTAACAATGTGGTAGAAAATAAAGTACACATTATAAGATTAAGGTTAATAATTAAAGAGGAAACTAATAGAATTATAAGGTAGTATGAACCTACTCCAAAATGTTAAATATAATACTGATTTAATGTTTAGTCTCCACTATAGATTATGAGATGATCCTATCCCTATTGGAGTTTCCAGAAAAAAAATTATATGAAGAAATAAATTGAACCAATGGATTTGTTATATAATTCATTAATAAAATTTGTATAATTAACATTATAGTATCTCAAAAGATAGACTAATGTTTCTCTATGAATTCAAAAATAGAAATGAAACTTACTTTTGTAATCAAACTAAGCATATGAAATGTCATATTCATCTTGAAAGAAAAAAGTAACATTCACCTATCATTTTGATAATAAATCTAACAAAGGAATAAAACTTTAGTCTACGTCCAATAAAGTAGGGTTCATTATTTATTCTATCCTTTTTTGTCTTTAGCGAGAAACCTCTATAGTTATTTACATCACAAGATAAGTCTTGGAAAAACTCTCGATTAAAATGGGGGTAAGACTTCTTTAGATTTATAAAGTTTTGATCAATGATTTAAATTTCTCAACCTACCAACTCAGAATGAAATAAAGCCATAACATTTATTTAATGAGTCATTGAAAATATATGTAGAGAGTTCTTTAAGATTTTGTATACCCAGAAATCACTTTAACCTATACTAATGTTTAACTTTTATGATTTATGATAAGATTGAGTTAATATTTATGTTGAAATTTGTTTAGAAAGTTCGATAGCCCTCTTATGGAGGAAGAATACAGTGTTTATGCAATCTTTATTTCTATCTTCTTGGATTGGATAGCCAACCCACCTAAGCACATTTCATAGCAAAAGAAAACGTGTCAAGTGTGAAGCATTCAAGATAGCTAGCTCTTCTTTTCTTCTTCTTTTTTTTGGTTAAAACCTATAGGGGGTTAACGTGTTAAATAAAAAAGAGGTCACAATGTCCTTAAGGAGGTACTTCAGCTCCCTAATGCTCGAATGAGCTACAAAATAAATCAAAAAAAAAATCTTAGAGCTGATAGTCCCCTCTAATCAAAATACATAAATACCTCAAATCAGAAATAACTAAATAACAAGACTCGAACATAATTAATTGAGAAGACATACAATATAAAAGAGGAGGGAAAATATGTAAAATGATGATAATTAACCCAACCATATTAACACCATGTCAATTGATATTAGCAGCCAATATAACCATAGTATTATTAGTAATCAGGCTCGACATGTAATCAACCAACTAATCACTAATGGTGTTATTCCCATCAATTGTCCTTAAAAAATAAATAGTAGGATAATCATTTCCATTAATAAAAACAAGTTGCCCATATCTAATCTACCTCTAGTGTGAATCCCTTTACATTTTTAAGATTTTTTTTAGGTTAACCTAGTGAAGTACAAATTACAAATAATCTTTACAAGAACATTTATAACATTATGTTTTAGCTTCCCTAATTTTTTTCAAAATTTTTGGGCATTGTAAAAATTTCTTAAGAAATTGTCACCTATCAGTACAAGTGAGGTTTTTCGGACTGTCATGTGTCTATTTTGCAAATTAATTTCACAAGAATTTTCTAAATAAAATTAGATTGTTTTTGAACATTTTTCTATAAATTTTGAATCCCTAATAGATTTTTTTATGAATTTTCTACTAAAAATTAATTATAATAATATTATTATATATTAAATAATAATAATAAAAAAAATCTAAATCCATCATTGCTATATTAAATGCCATTTTAATTTCTTGAAAACCAAATAGAAACTTTTGGGAAAAAAATTTATAGGAAATTGATACATGCTCAATTACTATTTAATTGTTATAATGTGATGTTATTTATGCATATGTAATTAAATTATATTTGTTAGGAGCTATAAGGGACAGGAATCCTTTGAGATTCTATATGTATCAGGGAATTTTTTGACGTTATAAGGGGCTAGAATCCTTTGAGATTTTGTTTGAGATAAATATATGTGATATATTCTGGTGCTATAAGCACAAATAAAAAGGGAGTCATAAGGGGCCAAAATCCTTTAAAATTCTGTATGGGTATGAGAAATGTGATTTAAATTTCAATTTATTTATTTATTCTATATTATTATTTAATTCAGAGAAAAACTACTATACATCTATTACATGTTCCAATTTTGTAATTCTCACTTCAATGATTTATTTAAATTGCATTTAATAGCTTTTAGATATTCAACAAAATATTTGTTAAAAGAATATTTGAAAATTTAGATTTGTTTATGTGGCTTGCTGAGCTGTTATAGATTATAGTGGTTTTACTTCTAATTTTTAGGACCTGGGAAGGGGAAAGAGGTTGTGGACTAGCAATTCTGGATCAGATTTGCGATCATAGGTATTTTGTTATTTTGAATTTAGTACAATCATGACTAGTTTAATTTTCAGTTTCGTAGCTCTTGCTTGTAGTCATGTATTATATTGCAGATATTTATTTTTGATGAATAAAAGAAACTTTATGGATAAGTTTTTTAGTATTAAGATATTTAAGTAGCTATGTAGTATATAGTTTATTTTAATGAATTTTGGCAGAAAAGAAAATCTGAAATAATTCCAAAACTTGATCTTGGGATTTACCAGTCACAGCTCAACATGATAGGATATGTCGTGGCAAGGTTGGGTTATAACATCCAGTACAAATAGCACCCACTGGAAAAGGGAGTAACACCAGAAGACACACAACCAACAACAAAACCAATCAAAAGGATGGTAACAAAACACCAAATTACTAAGAACCAAGTTAAATTAAAATCCTCTAACTATTTAAGAGGCCAGATTAACACTGTAGAAATATCATAAGAAAAATCCACAAAACTATAATAACCATGAATGAACCAGCAAAAAACACATCCAATGAGATTAAAACCATCCATAATACCTGTCTGATCACATAAACCAATCATAACTAGAGTAGGACTAGATAAGCAATGAAGAAGCATAAAGTTACTTTAATTAGAATCAAGGATTTAGGTTTAGATTTTATTCAGGACTCTTAAATAAGAAAATGTACCAAGCTAATACAATTTTACTTAATTTTTACTCTAAACTTTAAGTCTAATTATAATTTTTAGAAATTTATTCTAAGTTTGAATTTTTTAGAATAATTTTATAGCACAATGACTCTATGCCCATAGGGAAAAATATGGTAGCCCCATTACTTAGGCTCCTCATCCTTTATTATTTTCTTATGGTTTGGGTTAATATATGTTATAGGAATGTAAAATACAAGCATGTATAGGTAAAGGTCCTCATGTATGCAATACAAAATTTTCTCATCCTGGATCTAACATATTTATCTTCATAAAGGTAAAAATACATACAACGTGAAAACCTAGAAAACAATCTACACTCTAATGCAATGAATCTACTATCTTATATAAATGCAATGCATGATTTATGAAGTAATGTATTATGAAATTTTATTTACATTTATAGTAATAGTAAAGTATAATGCAAGGTCTACAATAAAAGAATGGTGGCTAAGCTCCTCTACAACGAGACTATTTTTTTACACCTATGAAATAATATATATTTAAATGTGATTACATATTTATTTTTTAGGTCTCCTGGCTCCGTGATCTTCTATATACTTATTGAAAATAATGTCCCTCAATGGAAGATAGATCATTTCTTTTTTGAGCTTTACAAGTGTATATGAGCAATCATATTTAAAATCTTTACAATTTTTTTTACATTCACAACTCAATCTAATATACAATGGATTTACATTTAAATTTACATTGAAAATTTTCATTTACATTTGATCATTTTCACATTTTATATTAATGTTTTATAATAAATAAAAATGCTTTACTCTTATTGGACTGGTGTAAATGTGTATGCATGTTAGTAAAGAGAAGCGTAACGCAAAAAAAAAATATGTATAACATCCAAAGTACATGAATGTAAACAAACAACTTAAGGACACCCTCCAAGAAAAGTGTCCAATCATAACAAAGCATAATAAATAAATATCTCCCCAACCTAGGCTAGAGTTTATTGCCATATGAAACCCACTAAAGTTTGTGCCAACTTGTGCAGCTAAGGTATGTCTTAAGTTTATATTTAATTTATGTTGTATATAATTTACTATTTATTTGTGATCACGTCAAAGAATATTTAATTCAAAATTTTAATTATAAAATTTTGAGGTTTTTTTTATTTAAATGTTTTAATAGTTCAAGTGATTTTATTTCAAGTTTTAAAAAGCTATGGAAATTAATAACTCCAAAGTTATTGAAGTTACTAATAAACAAGTCCTATGACTTACAATTGTAATGCATTTGTTCCCCTCCTAAGAGA